TAGGGCAAACAAAATCAGCATTTGTATAAAATGTGTTGCATGTTTAAAAACAACTTTTGCAGTGAAGAACTGTATGAAATTTGGGCAACACTGTGAAAAAGTGGATTTTATTTACTGATGTGTTCATACTTTTGAACACTATCTCTGTTAAACTTGCAATTTTATGTATTTGCAGTTTTTGCAATGTGCATTTTCATGCTAAGGGATCCTGTAAAATGAGCCTCATAGCTACATGTATAGCCAGTTCATTGCTATAATACATTAAGCCTTGTCAAAAACTCATGATTTTTAGCTCTACTGGCTAGAGACCAGAAGAGCCTATGCTAGGGATGCGCGATTTTATTGGTATACCGGTATATTGCGATTTTTTAATGCGTGATACGTATCGTGATGCGGAGACTAAAATACCTGTATTTGGTACATAACTATAAATTCCGGAAATTATTCATTTATTTGTTCAAACTATTGAATGACAATAACAGGAAGTGTAAAAAATGTTGAAAACAGTTAAACAACGGCATCAAAACATGCTTTATATTAAATAAATGAAAATTTAAAAAGTAAAGTTATGTTTTTATAGCATATTTTTAAGAAATATTATGGAAATTCATTTGAAATTGTAGTAAAATATGCGTGTAAAAATATCACGATTTATCGTGATATTTTTGGGAAAAAATCGTGATATATCACGATACGAAATTTTTGCCGATACCCATCCCTAGCTTATGCGATAGTAAGGTGTTGGTCGTCTGTCTGTCTGTCAACAAAAGCTACTCCTCCTATAGTTTTGGTCTGATTTCAATATTACTTGGCACACAAGTAAAGTATACCGAGATACATAATTTTTTTTATCGGATTTTGATTTTGATGAGCGGTTTTGCCATGTTTACTAATTTCTGTAAATTTTTTTTAAAAATCTACTCCTCCTTTAGTTTTAGTCAGATTTCCATGAAAAGAGACCAAATCAAGGATCATTATTCTATTTACTGCTGTTGCAAAGTTTCAAGTCCAACTGCTACTTATCTCTTCCTTTGTTAGACGTACAAACCAGTAGAGCTACAGTCTCGAATAAGACTTCTGGTTAAACAAATATTCAAATCATGCATCTTTGTGACATTCTGGATAAATATAAGCTAATTTCAGTCATGAAGATTGAAGGTCATGTGCCTGAAATGAATTAACGTTCAAAATGACTAATACCCTCCAGTAGTCCAGTATGCTTTCTACCCAGATATAGTGTAATTTTGCTAGGATGAAAAAATCAACTAATTCAAATCTGCCACCACATTGTCTGTTATTTTTACTAAAATATCTTAAAACAAATATTTTTTGATAAAAAATATAATCACTGAAGTGTCTCTTGAAATTCTATGCCTGTTTTTTCTACAGAATATCCCTTAGAATTATTGTGACCTTTTTGCACTTGCAGTTCTGCACTTACAAGAGTGAAAACTCCATCAATTTGAATTTGCAACCAAAATCCCATTAATACTAAATAAAATATTTAAAAACAATCACTTTTTAAAAATATGAAATCAATGGAAGCGTTTCTTGGAATTTTATAGCTGTTTTTCTGCAGACTATTCAAATATCCTTATTCCTTACAATTATCGTGACCTTTTTGCACTCGTAGCTCTTCACATTCAAAAAGGTATGTGAAATAAATTCTGTAAATATTTTTCTCAAAGGTTTTAATTCCTTAAATCCATTAGTTTTGAAGATATTATGGAAATTTTTTATACACAAACAGAATATGTACAAAAGGTGTTATTTTTCCATACTGGGTATAGAAATAGGCTGACGATAAACTAATTCTCCCTGTATCCATGGTAACAAATCAAATGACGTCACCAAACTTACGCAGTAAGTAAGTGACCTTGATCTCACTTTGTATGCAAAGTTTCAAGAAATTTTGAAAAACTTGCTTTCATAGCATTCTGCATGGTTTTCTTGTAGACACGCATTTAAAATCATCAAACTCTGTCAATTGATGCATCTTGGGTCCTTGGAGTACAACAATTGAAAAGTAGGTCACTTTGACCTACTTATAAAATTTTATGGTTATAATTTTAAGAAATATTTTAGGTATTAATTGGCTTAGAATCATCAAACTTAGTTGATGGGTCTTTAGAGAATGACAAGTGATAAGTAAGTCACCATGACCAACTCTCAGGTACTAATTGGCTTAGAATCATCTTGGGTTCTCAGAGTGTGAATTGGAATTTCAAGGGTTTATCTGAATATACAGGATACTTCGAGGGTTCAAATAGAAGTGATAGGTTGCACAGTTTATCAGAAGAGCGATTCAAGGCCCATGGGCCTCTTGTTATGCAAGTTAGTGGCAGCAGAGTCGATCAAAATTACTTGACTGCAGAAATGAACTTCAACTAGTGCTGCTTATCTCCCTTGCTTATGACGTCAGTAAGACCCAGTCACTACATTCAGTACTAACATTTTATACAACTGTCTTTTGCAGCATAATTTTTAAGAAATATCATTATCTGGGCTAAAACGTCGCATAAATATACGATGTTCAAACAAGATAGTGTCTTTTCACATCCTATTGCACATTTGCAAGATTTTAGTATGTTTTGTCTGTGTAATTTATTGTCTTTCTTCGACACTTAAATTCAATCGACAGAGACGATACGACAAAGAGCGGGGATCTGTACTCGAGTAACTGTATATAGACGCTGTCAAATAATTTACAATTGAATAAATTTCTTACATAAGAATATTGATGATTTGTTTTCTGATTAAAATTTTTAAGCCATGATTAGACGATGCTATCTATGTACTCGGTAGTACGCGCCCAGCTGAATTCGATTGACCGCGGTGTGTAAAATTGAAACTAAACCTGCATATAAATGATTTCATTTATTTATGGGAAATGAAATGATTCCATCGCTTTCTCGCTTTCCTCCTTTCTTAATCACTTTTCCTCTTCTCTCTCTGGTTTTCCCGGTCTCGATGACTCTGTCTCTCTCTCTCTCTCTCAGTATTTTTTTTCCTACCAAAAAGTTGGTACATATACAGTGTACACGTAACACTGTAACTATATTATCGTAATAATTTTAAAAAGTCAGACATTAAACGAAATTCTATCCACTTTTTTACAGACCGAATTGTTTAAATTTGTATCAGTTTTTTTAACACAGATTAGCCTGATTTAAAAAAAATGAACTGTAAAAATATTAATTTTGAAAATTGCTCAGATTCAGTCTTGCAAATAATGGGGGTATGGATTTTTTTAACTGATCAATCTATGCACGAAGTGTATGAGTATTTTCAAACTGCAATTGCTCAGCCAAACTGTAAGAAGTATCAGCACCGTAACATTACAGTACATGTATATATACATGTACACTCTCGTAATGCCGGTAAGTTTCGAGCCATTTTTTTTTTTTTTTAAATAAAATCGTGCTTCTTGTGACAGCAAAATTACGATGATGTCGTCATAAACCCCTATTTCTATATTGTTTTTACAATTAGTCCTCGTGTTTCAGATTGCAGAAAGCGCGCATTCAAATACGCCGATTTTTCATTGATCCACTTTAATTATCATCCCCGTGTTTATTTGGGGAAAAAAGGGAGGGGGGGGGTACTCTTGAGCTACATATTTTTCCCTCTCAATATATGACACAACTTTATTTTACAGATTTTGCATGCCCATTAAATTTTTTGTCGTTAGAAGCTTCAGGTCAATATTAATTAATTACACTGTTTTTTGTTGTTAATTATACGATTTCACTGGGAATGGAAAAAAAAAACATCATGTATCATATACGTATCAAACAGAAATAAGAAGACTTTTGTTTCTGAAGTATTAATTTAAAATAATTAATCATAGTTGGAGGAGAAAAATCTTGATTTAGAACTACGGGGTATTCATCAGGATCATCCTACCGTGAAAAGCTCTCGTTTTCAGTTGCTGTGTCTAATTAACGATTAGTTCAAATAGAGTAAACTGTGTTTTAGAATCAGATAGCTCATCTGAATACATAATCACATTTATACCCACAAAAATGACTAAAATTAACTCAATAAAATACGGTAAAATCACACTAGATCTAATGCGTTATTTACATCAGTGGGTCTTTGTGACGTCATAAAAACACAAAATCAAGAACGATAAGCGGGTAACAAATTTATCAAGTGGACAAGTTTAGGTCTTCATTTTTCAGTTAAGCAAAGGCAATTTTTTTTTTACTAAACGTAATTTGACTTTCTTTCATACCAATCTTTACGTTTAAAGTGTAAACTCCTAGTGTTAAGAACTGTTTCTTATGACCTTTAACTTTGTATGGTAAATGTATATGGACCACTGGAAGATCATTGTAACTGTATACAAATGTTGCAAATATACCCTGTTAAGGCTTTAGTGACCTTTCCCAAGGTCATTCAATGAAGCAAAAGGTCATTATTAATGTTTTTTTGTTTTATTATCAAAAAATGTCATATGTTTGAGATTACTCTAGGGACAAAGGATTTTCTTTAATCAAAAGTCATTCGTTTCTCATGCAGACTGTAATTTACTACATGTACATGCATGTATATTATAATAATTCTCATTAATTAAACCAAGGTGATCATCCAGTAATGATATTTTTCTGTGGATTTTTAACATTGTTTAAATAACCTTTGATGTAAAATACTTTCAGTGATAATACTTTTTAAAATTTGTGCTTTCATTATACATAGAAGTGTTTATGCAATATTTGTCCCCGAACACATTGTAAAGCAAAAATGATTTTTTATTTTGAAAATATAGATTTGATTTATGAAAATTTGTGATGTAGTCATTTTTTTGTAATTATTTGGCCCTTAAATTATTTTAATTATTCCAGTTTTTTGTATTTTCCTGGAATTCCATGGATTTCCAGCTATTTCCCCAAATTTCTATTCTGGCATTGTTCCGCACTTTTCCAGGCTAGATTTGAAATTCCATACCATTCCGAAAAAGTTCCGTCCCAATACTCTTGAGAATTCCTCGGAATTCCATGGAACACTTTTTCCATGGAATTCCACGGATTTTTTATGGAATTCCACGGATCTTACGGAAAATCTACATTAGGGTAGATAAAGACACTGCAAATCCATCAAAGGCCTGGGAGAGAATAAGAATCAAGCAGCAGCACACCAGATGTCCCCACCCAGACCCCATCACCCCTGTCACACCTGACAAGATTCGATTTGTCTGTATATCTGACACCCATGGGAAGATTGAGAGGTCAGGCTTACGTATGCCTCCTGGAGATGTGCTTCTTCATGCTGGGGACTTTACAACGAGAGGACAGCTAACAGAAATTGAGAAATTTAACTCATACCTAGGTATTTAAAAGCAGTGAATAATGTCTAATTCAGATGTTGTGTAATCCAAAATCTTGCCTATTGTGATGAAATCTTTATGTCCCTATGGGTATATTCAGTAGTACATGTACAAAAATCTTGTCTAATCCAGAATGTTGTCTTATCTAGCCAATTTCTTTAGAACCGTGTATTGTCCGGAGTAAAGTTTTACAGTCACTGTACATGTATCATCTTGGGCAAAAAGACAGATAACTTTGTTTCTGAAACCACATGAACCATATAAATATTTTTTTAGTAGAACTAGGTGAATTAAAAAAAATGACCACCAAACTGAAATTTTTTGGAAAAATTCAACTACTTATAACATATTTTTCACTTATATTATCATATTCCACATGCATTCTAGTTTAAAATCCTGAAGTGGCAATAGAATAGACAATTCGATTAAAAAGTTTCAGAATTTGTATTAGTAAAATCTCTTTTGAAAAAAGAAAATATCATTACACCTTAAAAGACTTTCTAAAATACATAATCACCAGAAATTATAGTTTTTAGGTCACCTGACCTATTGCTATCCGTTCTCGTCCGTCGGCGTGCGTCGTGTGTTAACATTTGAACATTTTTAGCTTCTTCTCTGAAACCGCTTAACCAATTTCAACCAAATTTGGCATATAGCATCTATGGGTGAAGGGGAACAAAAATTGTGAATTTCATGGTCCCTGCCCCCCTGGGGCCTGGGGGGTGGGGCTAAAACCACCAAAAATAATGCAATCTTTAAAAATCTTCTTCTTTACTCCAGGACATCAAGCAGTCAAACTGTTGGCATCATTGTAACAAGCATTGAGCCCTCTACCAAAATTTTGAAATTCATGGCCCCAGGGTCAGGGGTTCTGGCCCCAGGGTGGGGCTATATAGATCATATAGTGAAAGTGCATTATTTCTTTGAAAATCTTCTTCTCTGCTCCTGGGTATTAAATAAAGTAACTTAGTACATAGTTATGAAGAGCAAGAGTGCCTCTTCCAAAATTGTGAAATTCATGACCCCAGGGTCAGGGGTTCTGGTGTTAGGGCGGGGCTCTATTGATTATATAGTGAAAATGCATTAATTCTTTGAAAATCTTCTTCTGTGCTCCTGGGTATTAAATAAAGTAACTAAGTACATAGTTATGATGAGCAAGAAGTCCTCTTCAGAAATTGTGAAATTCATGGCCCCTGGGTCAGGGGTTCTGGCCCCAGGGTGGGGCTATATAGATCATATAGTGAAAGTGCATTATTTCTTTGAAAATCTTCTTCTCTGCTCCTGGGTATTAAATAAAGTTACTAAGTACAAAGTTATGAAAAGCAAGAGTACCTCTTCCAAAATTGTGAAATTCATGACCCCAGGGTCAGGGGTTCTGGTGTTAGGGCGGGGCTCTATTGATTATATAGTGAAAATGCATTAATTCTTTGAAAATCTTCTTCTCTGCTCCTGGGTATTAAAAAAAGTAACTAAGTACATAGTTATGATGAGCAAGAAGTCCTCTTCAGAAATTGTGAAATTCATGGCCCCTGGGTCAGGGGTTCTGGCCCCAGGGTGGGGCTATATAGATCATATAGTGAAAGTGCATTATTTCTTTGAAAATCTTCTTCTCTGCTCCTGGGTATTAAATAAAGTAACTAAGTACATGGTTATGAAGAGCAAGAGTGCCTCTTCCAAAATTGTGAAATTCATGGCCCCAGGGTCAGGGGTTCTGGTGTTAGGGCGGGGCTCTATTGATTATATAGTGAAAATGCATTAATTCTTTGAAAATCTTCTTCTGTGCTCCTGGGTATTAAAAAAAGTAACTAAGTACATAGTTATGATGAGCAAGAGTGCCTCTTCCAAAATTGTGAAATTCATGGCCCCAGGGTCAGGGGTTCTGGCCCCAGGGTGGGGCTATATAGATCATATAGTGAAAGTGCATTATTTCTTTGAAAATCTTCTTCTCTGCTCCTGGGTATTAAATAAAGTAACTTAGTACATAGTTATGAAGAGCAAGAGTGCCTCTTCCAAAATTGTGAAATTCATGACCCCAGGGTCAGGGGTTCTGGTGTTAGGGCGGGGCTCTATTGATTATATAGTGAAAATGCATTAATTCTTTGAAAATCTTCTTCTCTGCTCCTGGGTATTAAAAAAAGTAACTAAGTACATAGTTATGATGACCAAGAGAGCCTCTTCCAAAATTGTGAAATTCATGGCCCCAGGGTCAGGGGTTCTGGTGTTAGGGCGGGGCTCTATAGATTATATAGTGAAAAAGCATAAATTCTTTGAAAATCTTCTTCTCTGCTCCTGGGTATTAAATAAAGTAACTAAGTACATAGTTATGATGAGCAAAAGTGCCTTTTCAAGAATTTTGAATTTCATGGCCCGAGGGTCAGGGGTTCTGGTGTTAGGGCGGGGCTCTATTGATTATATAGTGAAAATGCATTAATTCTTTGAAAATCTTCTCTGCTACTGGAGATTATTTAAACAAACTAAGTGCATGATTATGATAGGCAAGGATGCTTCTTCCAAAATTTTTAAATATGTGGCTTCAGTTTTTGGGGCTCTTGAGGAAGGGGGGGGGGGGGCTCTATTGATTATATAGTGAAAAAGCATTAATTCTATTAATTAATCATTAATTAATCCTGTCTGCTCCTTAGCATTGAGCTGATAAATAAATTGCTAATCTATGATGAAAATGGGAGCTTCGAACAGAATTTTTAAATCTTGTGGTCCTAGGGTCAGGGGTTCTGGCATAATGAGAGGGGGGGGGGGGCTTTTGATAATATAGTGGAAAAGTGTTAATTCTTCGAAGTCCATAGTTATGATGATGAGGGTAACTCTTCCAAATCTGTAAATTTCTTGACCCTTGGTCTTGGGTTCTGGTGTTAGGGTAAGGCTTTGTTGAATCTGTAGTGAAAATGCATTGTACCTGTGAAATTCTTCTCTGCTTCTGGGCATATCGGAAGAAAACTGAGTAAAAGTTTAAATGATATGAGTAAGCGTATTTCTACCAGATTTTTGAACATCTGGACCATTGGTCTAAGCATTCTAGTCCTGGGCAGGGCTCTATTAATTTTTATTCTACTGAGAGAAGTTATTCCCCTTTTCCGTTCACTTTTGATAATTAATCACTGTAAATAATGTATTTGAAAGGTAAATAGAATAAAATAATTATGCAAGAATGTTTATCATATAATTCAAAAAGTATTTTCTTAGTTTTAATAATCAGGTAGACCTGTAAGTAATAGATAAATAAAAATGAGACAAAAATAACTTATCTTATTAAAAGTTCTTCAAAGACCATAAGAGAGGTCAATGCTAGAGGTCTTAATATGGGTTTAAAAATAGTACAGAAGCACTAATAGTTTGTTAATAGTCTGCATGGTGATAGTGTTAAGTGGAGCACAGATTAGAACTTAATTTATGAGTTGATACTGAATACTAGACTAATTATTTTGTTGATCCTGATCTTCCTACTTCTCTTGCTTTAGGGCAAAAAAGCTTCATCTGTCAGTGTATTTAACTTCTAAATTGTTGTATTATACTCAGGTGACCGTTAAGGCCCTTGGGCCTCTTGTTTATGCTTCAAAGTGGTAAAAGGGGTATAAATGATTAAATCTAGACCTTGATTGAGTATCTTCTCTTGTATATATTACAAAAAATTGGCTTTTTTATTGTTATTTTACATTATTTTTTCAATTCTGGTTTGAAAAGTTTCAATATGAAAAAAATATGAAGCAATAAAATTCCCCAAAATTCACTTTTTTGTCCGTTCAAATCAATTCTTCAAATCTAAGCCAAAAAAGAATTTCTGTATACAAGTTCTCTTACAAAAAATACTAGATTTTGAAGTGACCCTATTTTACATTATTGTGTTGCACTCCTGACATCTGATATGTATTTTATTTAACACTGTTTTAAAAATTATAACACACAATAACCCATTCTTACTTTGTAAATCAGTTTGTCGTTTTGATATTTTTCATAATTTACGGCAGGTTTTTCATATTTTGAAGACCTTAAAACATGATTATTTGAAAAGTGTAATATATATAAATTGTATTTAAAAATATATGTGAAATGAAAACTATTCCCTGAATTGACTGTAAAATTTCTGTAATTTGTTGATAGACATAGTGTTTTGAACATCAAATAGTATCAAACATTTTTTCAACTTATTTTTTAGTATAGATAGTTAAAAAGCACTGGTAATTATAAAGCAGTTTTGTTGCACTCCTGACTGCAGTAAAATTTAAAAATAAAAACCATAGAACACAAAAATTCATAAAGTGTTGGCAACATCAAGTGATAATGAAATTGTGCAATATTTATAGTACAATACTTCATAATTAAAACAGATGAAAGTATTTCAAATTCACATTTTATCTGGAATTATCCCCTGTTTATGCCAAAAAACTAGCTTAAATGTATAATTAGAAGATAAAATATATTATATAGCATATTTTCCTTTAGAGGACAAACACAGTAACCCACCAGAAATATTCTACTCACCATTTTTTCTTTATTTTTATTCTTATTGGATGATTTATAATTCTAACATATTTGTTGCACTCCTGACCAAAAGCATTGGGGTCTTTAAAGTAGAATTGTGAAGTGAAAAATTACATAAGAACTTGTTCTGTTGTTTCAGTGAAGTTGAGGAGGAATTACTTGAATTTTATGACAATTTTTAGTGTGTGTATTTTTAAAGTTCATTAAAAAAATTACAAAAAAGATAAAAACACATCTGAATTTATAAAATTGAAAAAGGAAGGATTTTAATAATAAAACTGTTAATAATTTAGTACTAAATTATACAAAAAGATCATTATGAATTAATGAATACTTCTAAGCATGAATAGAAGTGTTTTCGTCACACAACCTGAATCGTTAAAAAAATGTTTGCACTCCTGACCATAGAAATATAGACTTGAAGCATATAGACAGACCCTGTAATTGATAAATCTATTTGGTAAAAAGTTCCTAGTGTCTTTATTTTCCAAAGTAAAAATCAGAAAATCATATAATGATAATAGTTTTCTCGTGCTTGGGAGCAAAACATATCAAATGTTGCTCTCATGACATTATTGGGTATGCACATAAACTTGACTCTCATTAATGCTGCTTGTGATTTATCTAACATTTTTAAGTTTTAAAATGTATATCAGTTGTTGTTTTACACTTTGAAAATTCTTTTTTGTCTGAATTTTCTTTCAGAATTTTACAATTGATGTCTTTTTGGCAACACTACATTTTTTCAGTTGCACTCCTGACATGGTATAACATTTTTTTAAACATGAGCTAGCTATGACCACAACTTGATTAAATATAAGTGACTATGGTCCACATTTAAAGCTCAATACTTTAAATATTATCAGGAAAGTCTTTATTTTCAACATAAACCATTCACATGGAAAAATGAACTGCAGTTATTAAGCAGTACTTCAGCAGTTTTATGAATTTTAAGCAGTTTTCAAGCAGTTTCAGGCAGTTTGATTTTTACTGTTGTTTCATAACTGCTAATGCCTGGGGAGTAAACAGTTTTCATAAGCAGTTTTCTAAGCAGTAAGCAGTTTCCTTAGCAGTATGTTTAAGCTTTACCCCTACTGGGGGAAAGAACAGTTTTGTTAGCAGTATGTAAGCAGTTTCCTTAGCAGTAAATATTCAATTTGATTGGGATCAAGATAAATTCAAATGTTGGGCTCAATGATCAATAAATATACACAACAGGAACCAAACAACTGACCGCTAGGGATGCAACGATACACTAACCTCACGATACGAATCACGGTATTCAGTTCACGATACGATACGTATCACGATACATGACAAGGTTAAAAAGTCTTTCAAGTTTGTGTCATATTTTTTTTAAACTTGACAGGGTTATATAAAATGTTCATATTTTTTTTATAATAAATAAAATAAAATTTTGTTAACTTGAATTGGATTGTAAGGTAGATCTTTGAGTTTTGACAATTTTCTAAACCAATGATGAGCACTTACAGGGAACTACGGGGACCTTTCCTAATAATCTTTCTTTTAAATTGGAATGAAAAAGGAAGACATTGATTTCATTCTTTTATTCATTTTATTTACGTAGAAAACCAGTTGTCATATTTCTCGTGTTAACACGTTTTAGTCAACAAGACAATGAATTTTCATCGAAATACACACGTGATGAAATATCGTGTATTACCAAAGAATAAGTTTAGATCTAAAGGGTTTATCATTTGTCTTAACATCTAAAATTTATAATCACATTAAGTCCTTCTCCGTGTTAAATCTGAGGTCTGTAAGATGCTGGAGATGAGTTTAACTTCCGTTAATGCGTTATCGGCTACCTCACGTTTTGCGCGGAAGCCATTTTGAAATTGTAAAAAAAGGAAACAAAACGGACGATTCGGATAATTCTGGACCGATTGAACCGAACCGCGATATCAGTTTAGCGTATTGTGAATTGAACCGTGGAAAAATATACCGCGATATACCGTCAAACGGTTTATCGTTGCACCCTTACTGACCGCCAAAACTGAATTTTGGCTGCCATGTTGTGTAGTTGAACAAAAGGAAATACAGTCATGAAAAGGGGGCTGCTGGCCACAAAGTTTTAATGGAAATTATGATGCAGACATATAATATGTGGTATGTACACTATATTTTATAAGTGTTCTTAAATAAGAGAGGTAATTAACAATTATTGTACTGCTTGAATCAGCCCAATTTCAATATGGTATGTCTCATATTATATTTCCAGTGCACCTTTTAAGAATCACTGACTCAATTCCATTTAACTACAATAAGCTGAAAATCTTTTTTTTATTTAACCACAACTAATGTTTTAGAAAATAATGTACCTCTTTTATCTATATTGATATTGAAATTGTCGATGTAGCTTATAAGTACATGGATTAATTAATTTTCATAATGTGGATTGTTTTAACATTTGTAGTATTATGAGTTATATAAATAGTATGTTTAAACTTGGCCCAATTAATGGATTATATTTCTGTTAGAAATTACAGTTTTCAGGAAATGTATTGTGCATGTCCTCAAAATGAGATTGCTTCACAGCTAGTTAGGGCCCCGCAAGGATTTGCGGGTGCCCTATAGTAATCACTCTGTCTGTCTGTCTGTCCGTCTGTCTGTCTGTCTGTCTGTCCATCTGTCATTCTTCCGTCCACAAATTTTCTGTTTTTTTCTAATAACTTTTTTTAGGGTTGACCAATTAAGTTCAAATTTGGTATGTTGGTTGAATAGGCAGTAAGACATATTTTGGTGCTAAGTTTGGTTCTCTGTGTCATCCGGTTTGGAGCTGGGGTGGTGGGGTAGATTCCTTAACTTTATATAAGAGTGAATGGGCAAAGAGAGATAACTGCTGAGAATGTTCCTATTGTAAACTATGAAAGGCTGCAATGAGTCTCTTGGGATTAATTATCTTTCCTCTTGAAGAAAATCCAAAGCATTTATCTTTATATGCCACATTGAGATTAATTAACACCTCTGTCTGAAAATGAAGTTTGTTTTGAAGTTAAGGTCAATTCTGAATGATGTTTACATTCTCTGAAATGCTGATTTAAATAATGTTCATACTTTATTTTGGTAAAATACACAATGAGTTATGATTTTATTGAATTCTAAAAACAAGATATAGATAAAAATATCGTTTTTATTATTATTGTCTTTTCTCTTTTTTTTTCTTTTTTCCTGCCTTATGTAAATTCAAGAATACTAATTATTTTAATTAACAGGTATTCAGATTATAACCTCATTTTATCATTGCTGAAAAAGTTCTCATTGTAAACTTAGAAGAAAAGGTTGAGAGAGCAGTATAATTAATCCCGTGGGTTTGATTATCTTGCTGGTTTGCAGAATATTTTAGAGGGTTATCTTTCTGTCACTTTAAGATTAATTAACACCTTTGTCTGCAACTGATATTTGTTTTGGAGTTAGGGTCAACCCTGGGTGATATTTGCATTCACTGAAGGCTGGCATTTTAGAAAACACATGCTTCATTCATTTTTAAATATACATTTAATTGAGTTATTATAGATATGATGTTTTTTACTGCCTTATGTATATACAAGGATACTATTTACAGATTGTTGGATATTTAGCAGTTGCTTATTCTTTACATATTTGAAATTTTTTTGGAATCAAGTAAAAATCTCATCCCCTTATCTGCACCCTTATATTTCTAACCCTCGGCGGGGCCCTTGCTGACTGGTCAGATTTCTAGTTAATTATCAGTACATATTAAGCAGTTGTCTAACAGTTAATTTATTAAGCAGTACAAAAACAGTAGCTTTACAGTTTAATAAGCAGTACCTAAACAGTTATATCTAAGGGAGTAAGCAGTCCTGAAAAATCTTACCAAAATAACTGCTTATGAACTGCCTATGAACTGCTAACGAACTGTGCAAAACTGCCTAACAATTGTTAAGGTCAAGATCTAGTAAATGACTTTAGACCGTCTTTTCGGTGCTAGATCCATTATGACGTCATAATCAATTTAAACTTTCCTTTTCCCGTACTTTACAGCTCCAATAGAATTATGTAGAAAATAAAGTATTTTCATGGCATTCAATTTGAAATCGTGTGAAAAGTAACCCCGATACCTATATTCAATTTTACATTATTTTAAAGAAGGGGTTAAGAACATACAAATTACCGTTTTCTGAGAGACTGTAGGCAATCTGAATACATTTCCTTCGTCTGATATGGAAAAAACTCCCATATTCTTGATTGGCTTTCTTCATTTTTCATTGAAAATGACAGTTTACAAGATGGTTTTTCGTCTTTTTTTTCTTGCAAATTATGCTCCGATACACCTTATTTGACCGCGCTATAGTTATAAAGCATCATAAAAGGAATTTATTTCCCAAGTTTGAGAAATCTGTAGGCTCTTTTCATTTACTAGATCTTGACCTTAAGGCTTAGAAAACTGCCTATTTTATTCAAATTTTAAGGTTTATTGTGGGCCCAACATGCCTTAAGCAGTGCAGAGAAGGTTTAGAAACTGCTTATAAACTGCTAAGATGGTTCAACTGTTAAGGTTAAGAAACTGCTAAATAACTGCCTTCCACTTTGCCATGGGTTATTATTTATTTCACAGATCTCCAAAAAATATTGAAATTTCAAAATGTCACAAAAAGGTGTTGCACTCCTGACAATTTTAGCATCATTTTTGGGCATAACTTTTTTGTTAATTGAGATATCAACGAGATATTTAGCAGGTATTTAGACACTATCTAAAGACATATTCTGAGACATAAAAATCTATTTTCACTGCCTGTATTTTTAGTGTGGGTTGATAAATATGTGATCGGTCATTTTTTTTTTAATTCACCCAACTACTAAACAAATTAATCTTAATTTAGGGAGACTTCTAATTTCATAAAATTGTACTTAATATTAATCCAGTTTAAAGTTTTCTTTTATTGTAAAGATGATGATTTTACAAATATAAATGATGCATTTAAGTACATTTAAAAATACAGTGAAATTTGTCTAATCTGGACACCAACGGTTCCATAGAAATTGGCTGTTTTAGAAAATATTTGATTAGACAACATTAAACAATTTACTGAAAAGAGACTTTTTGCTTACTTATAAGTATAGTCTTTACTTTGGAGTATACGACATCCGTATTAGACAATTTTTACCGTAATTACGATTAATATTCATTTTAATGTTACCTGTGAAATTATTAATTTCATTATAATTATATAAACAGGTTTTCTGCCATACAAGGTAAAGGTTCTCATTGCTGGAAACCATGATTTAACCTTGGATGAGGAACTCGGTGATTCAACTTTGCAATCTTTTGGACTTCAGCATTCTGAGATTGAGTCATACCTTAAATCCAGGGGACTTAAATCTGTCAAGGAAATGTTAACAAATGCAGTGTATCTCCTAGATTCCTCAGTCAGTATATGTGGGATCAAGCTTTATGGTGCACCTTGGTAAGTCTTCAAGTAATTTTTTTTCATCATATACATCTATAATTGATTTATTTATTTTCTTTTATTGCAAAACTAAATACTATAGGTATACTTATACTAAGTCTTTCTGAATATATAAGCTATAATGAGTTCAAATTAAAATGTGAAGAATTTTATACAGTCAGCAAGCACACATTCAATTTTTGTGTTAATTGCTAGCTGCAGATCTGTAGCTCACTGGTCTGAAAAAAAAATTGGGATGGACGACCAGAGAGCTACACTGTGCCACCCATTAAAAAAGTGTATATTTATTGCGCACAAAAAGGTGCTGTTTCTCGATTTATTTCTATGAAGATTTACACTGCCATCTCAAAATATTACTAACTGTGTGTTTTAAAAATATTCTTTAACTATTCCCACAACAAAACATTCCCCAAAACCATCAATAATAGCTCTCCTGGGCCTGAAATCGAGACTATCAAAAATTTCGCCTATTTATACTGCCATTTTGGATGGCAAGATAATTCGGTCCAACGCACTTCGTACTTGACTAATAATGTACATACAGTTTTGTCATGGAAAAAGTAGAAGAATATGATAGGAACACACAGTTAGTAGTAATATTTTGAGATATATATGGAGAAATAAATTGAGAAACAGCACACTTTTTTGTGCACAATAAATATACACTTTTTTCAATGGGTGGCATGTACTGTAGCTCTCTGGTCGTCCATTCCAATTTTTTTTTTTCAGACCAGCGAGCTACAGATCTGCAGCTAGTTAATTGCTAGCTTACATGTACATCTCAGATTGAAGAAAAAAAAAAAGAAAAGAAATTCGTTGCAGGCAACCTATTTTTCGTAACTGGGGTTTCAATGTGAAAAGAGGGGAAGAACTATTAGAGAAATGGCAGAAAATTCCAACTGACACTGATATCCTCATAACACATGGACCCCCAGTTGGTAAGAGCCCTTTATAATTGTCTCTGTATATAAGTCCATGATTTTTAGTTGAAAAAATGTAAAAGCTGTCCTCTTGAAGTGCTATATTTGTGCTTGCTGATTGTGTAGAATTCCCTTCTGCCCGTATTAATACTAATTTTTTTCACAAACAAAATGCTTCATATAATACCTGTATTAAATATGTACAGTACTAATAAAAACATTTTTTCTCTGATCAATGTTTAAATATCAGAAAGTAGACAGCACTGTGACTGGGTGATGAGTCAGTTACAATATATATATGCAACCATACAAACAAAATTTCAACATAAGAAATTGATTCAGAAGTAGATGTTTTATTTTTATTTTTTTTTGGGGGGGGGGGGTATTGAAAATTTTCCTCAAGGTTCAATACATGCTTAGCAAAGATTTAATTTTAGCAACCAACACTTAAAAGTTACCAAATCGGTTTGAACACAAATTGCTATATTATGCACATTTTATATCACTTTCACAAGAAAAAAAAAAAAAACTTGTGCTCATATACATGTTGGTAACCAAAGCACTTCAAGAGAATGGCTTTTCAGTGGTGTAGGGGACAAGAATTAAAGAAATGTTGGGACAAAATTCCAGAAGATACTGATATTTTAATGTCTCATACCCCTCCTTGTGGTAAGATACTGACTGAATATACAGAACGTGAAGTGAATGAAAACTTTTTTAGCTGGCCTTCAGTCAAATTGACAGGATATGCTACCCCCTAAAGCTGCATTTATTATTATAGAATGGCATCCTTAAAAATATTGAAACATATTCTTTATGTAGTATGTATATTAGTTACATATTTTTAGTCAAATTCCATATAGGTAAACTGTATCACATGTGCTACACATTATAAATATTGTACATGTATACACATTGTACATGTATTTTCTTATCCTGTGGTATGGATATTTACTGACCTATCTGGACTCCATGATTAAATGATATACATGTAATATTACTAACAGGACATGGGGATCTGACCGGTGGAAACAATAATGTAGGCTGTGTAGAACTCCTTAATACAGTACAGAAAAGAGTCAAACCAAAGTACCATGTGTTTGGACACATTCATGAAAGTAAGAAATTCTAGTAGTGTGGATTGGAACAGAATTTCTTTCTTTGCTGAATAATGATACTTTATTATAATATTTCTAAATTCTGAAGTGTAACATTTTTAGGTCACCTGAGTAAACTCAGGTGACCTATTGCTATCCGTTTTTGTCCGACGTCGTTCGTCGGTCGTAAACTTTTGAACATTTTTAGCTTCTTCTCTAGAACCGCTCAACCAATTTCAACCAAATTTGGTATATAGCATCTATGGGTGAAGGGGAACAAAAATTGTGAATTTCATGGTCCCTGCCCCCCTGGGGCCTGAGGGGTGGGGCTAAAACCACCAAAAATAATGCAATCTTTAAAAATCTTCTTCTTTACTCCTGGACATTAAGCAGACGAACTGTTGGCATCATTGTAATAAGCATGGAGCCCTCTACCAAAATTGTGAAATTCATGGCCCCAGGGTCAGGGGTTCTGGTGCTAGGGTGGGGCTATATAGATCATATAGTGAAAGTGCATTATTTCTTTGAAAATCTTCTTCTCTGCTCCTGGGTATTAAATAAAGTTACTAAGTACATAGTTATGATGAGCAAGAGTGCCTCTTCCAAAATTGTGAAATTCATGGTCCCAGGGTCAGGGGTTCTGGTGTTAGGGCGGGGCTCTATTGATTATATAGTGAAAATGCATTATTTCTTTGAAAATCTTCTTCTCTGCTCCTGGGTATTAAATAAAGGAACTAAGTACATAGTTATGATGAGCAAGAGTGCCTCTTCCAAGATTGTGAAATTCATGGCCCCAGGGTCAGGGGTTCTGGTGTTAGGGCGGGGCTCTATAGATTATATAGTGAAAATGCATTAATTCTTTGAAAATCTTCTTCTTTGCTCCTGGGTATTAAATAAAGTTACTAAGTACATAGTTATGATGAGCAAAAGTGCCTTTTCAAAAATTGTGAATTTCATGGCCCCAGGGTCAGGGGTTCTGGTGTTAGGGTGGGGCTCTATAGATTATATAGTGAAAATGCATTAATTCTTTGAAAATCTTCTTCTCTGCTTCTGGATATTGAATAAAGTAACTAAGTACATAGTTATGATGAGCAAGAGTACCTCTTCCAAAGTTGTGAATTTCATGGCCCCAGGGTCAGGGGTTCTGGTGTTAGGGCGGGGCTCTATAGACTATATGGTGAAAATGCATTAATTCTTTGAAAATCTTCTTCTCTGCTCCTGGGCATTAAGGTGATAAACTAAGTACATAGTTATGATGAGGAGGTGGGCCTCTTCCAGAATTGTGAAAGCCATTGCCCCTGGGACAGGGGTTCTGGTGTAAGGGCGGGGCTCTATTGATTATATAGTGAAAATGCATTGATTCTTTGAAAATCTTCTTCTCTGCTACTGGAGATTATTTAAACAAACTAAGTGCATGGTTATGATGCATAAGGATGCCTTTTCAAAAATTATGAATTTCATGGCCCCAGGGTCAGGGGTTCTGGTGTTAGGGCGGGGCTCTATAGATTATATAGTGAAAATGCAGTGATTCTTTGAAAATCTTCTTCTCTGCTACTGGAGATTATATAAACAAACTAAGTACATGATTATTAAAGACAAGGATGCCTCTTCCAAAATTTTTAAATATATGGCCTCAGTTTTTGGGGTTCTTGAGGAGGGGGGGGGGAGGGGGGCTCTATTGATTATATAGTGAAAAAGCATTAATTCTATTAATCATTAATTAATCCTGTCTGCTCCTTAGTGTTGAGCTGATAAATAAATTGCTTAGCTATGATGAAAATGGGAGCTTTGAACAGAATTTTTAAATCTTGTGGACCTAGGGTCAGGAGTTCTGGCATAACGGGGGGGGGGGGGGGGGCTTTTGATAATATAGTGGAAAAGTGTTAATTCTTTGAAGTCCATAGTTATGATGATGAGGGTAACTCTTCCAAATCTGTAAATTTCTTGACCCTTGGTCTTGGGTTCTGGTGTTAGGGTAAGGCTTTGTTGAATCTGTAGTGAAAATGCATTGTACCTGTGAAATTCTTCTCTGCTTCTTGGCATATTGGAAGCAAACTGAGTAAAAGTTTAAATGATATGAGTAAGCATATTTCTACCAGATTTTTAAACATCTGGACCATTGGTCTAAGCATTCTGGTCCTGGGCAGGGCTCTATTAATTTGTATTCTACTGAGAGAAGTTATTCCCCTTTTCCGTTCACCTTTGATAATTAATCACTGTAAATAATGTATTTGAAAGGTTAATAGAATAAGATAATTATGCAAGAATGTTTATCGTATAATTAAAAAAGTACTTACTTAGTTTTAATAAACAGGTAGACCTGTAAGTAATAGATAAATAAAAATGAGACAAAAATAACTTATCTTATTAAAAGTTCTTCAAAGATCATAAGAGAGGTCAATGCTAGAGGTCTCAATATGGGTTTATAAATAGTACAGAAGCACTAATAGTTTGTTAATAGTCTGCATAGTGTTAAGTGGGGGACAGATTAGAACTTAATTTATGAGTTGATACTGAATATTAGACTAATTATTTTGTTGATCCTGATCTTCCTACTTCTCTTGCTTTAGGGCAACAAAGCTTCAACTATCAGTGTATTTAACTTCTAAATTGTTGTATTATACTCAGGTGACCGTTAAGGCCCTTGGGCCTCTTGTTTTTGTTCTGATTGATTAACTTGCTGCTATAGGTCGCCATCTACATTGTACAGTCCTAACTGACCTGTTATTCTGTACTGTCTTTATATCCAGGAAAATGAGATGGTTTTAGAGACTTTAAATCATACATATAACCCTTGTACACTCATGAGAAAATAGCTTGCTTGTTTTAAACAAATGTGCATATACGTGTATATCAAATGCAGACAGCTGTATATAATGACATGTTGAACTCTTTGTAGGTTATGGGGTGACCTCAGATGGGTTCACGACCTTTATCAATGCTTCGACCTGTACTATAAGATACAAACCCACCAACTCACCTATTGTGTTTGACTTTGACATTCCAGAGGGACGTAGTAAAGAAGAACTTCTACACATGGAGAAAAATTCCTCATACTGATTGATTTCTTACATAGTTTTATTTATTTTTTTCCTCAACTACATCTTTATTGAACACATGCATATATCGGTATATACATGTGCAATTTAGTCAGGGATTGAAAATCATTTTTTCCAGGAACTCAGATTGATGAAAAATGTTAACATAAACATATTTTTTCTGCTATGATCAAGTATGAAAAGTATTGCATGGAAGTTCTTCAAATTTTCAAAAATTAATTTTTTAATATGTTTTTTAAATATTTTTTGTACTTCTAAATTTTATATTTACTCAGTAAGTCCACCATAATATTATGAGATATATATATTCATTTTTATCCATATATTTAGAAAATGTTAGAAAAATACTCAGTCAAGAAAGCTGCCCATCTAAAGGAGAAAATATAAATGTTGCACAACATATGTTTGTACTTAAATACATATACATACAATTGTTTCTTTCAAAATCAGTTCTACAGTATTGTTACCGTATATACTCGCCTATAAGTCGGTCCGCCTATAAGTCGGTTGTATTTTTTAAGCTTAAATTAGAGGGATTGACCTGCTAAAATACCAATCTTTTTATAACTCGCATATAAGTTGGATAAAGAGTTTTGGAACAAAGTTTAACTCCCAAAAAACCCGACTTATAGGCGAGTATATACGGTATTTCTTTTACTTCCTCTTTTAAATTTTTAACTGTACTGTGTTCGCTATAAGTGTGTTTTACTGTATTATTTTTGCTTTATTTCATTAGAATGATATTGGCTGGATTTTATGTATACTTTTGTGAAACAATGACTCCACATCTAATCATATCCCAAATTAACAGTAAGTCATGCTGTTCTGCATTATACATGTAATTGAAATGCTGACAGGGAACCACTATAGGCAATCTGTAGGGGGATTTTCGGTACTTTGGTAAAATAATTTCAGTAGAGAAACCAATCTGTTTAAAAATCAACTTTGTAGTAAATCCGGGGATAGAAATTGTTTAAACAGTTGGTGAATCTTCAGGGAGGGGGTTACTTGAAATCGCTACAAAAGGAAATTTTCAAGGCAGTGGTTTTCTGTGACTAGTGAAAAGACTTTTCTTAAATGATATCTGTGATAATAAATGAATACAATATTTATGTATAATAATCTCTGTCCATGATTGATTAATTAATATTAATATTATACAAAGTTTATTAAAAGCTTTAATCTATTTCTGAGTTTTATTTTAGCCAGTACATGTCAACAAATTCAAGAATTTAATTCAATGATTTACTGAATTTACTGACCATTTATACACTGAAGGTTTCCTTCAGTAGGGTTGTCTTCCTCCTTCTCTGTTGATTATCATTTGTTAACATTCTTGCCAACAAGAAATGTTTATGAAAGGGATGTTTATGAAATGGTAAGATAACAAACAGTGACCATGCTCAAAAGTCCATTTAAACAATGCTAACTGTGCACAGAGCCAACATGAAGAAGGGAGCAGGTGCCCTGGAGGAGTAAGCATCCCCTGTCAACCAGTGCCGTGTGCCTCTTGTCATGCCAGGGTAAATGGAAAGATCCATAGACGTAATGGCCAAACAATTTGTATTAAAGACGTAAGTCGACATTCTACATAATAGATTCTTCTATTTGGAAACAAGGCCATGGTATCGACCATGGAATTTGTGAAATGTTGATTCTAAAAAAGTTTGTTGATGTCCTTCTGTAATCAACTATAATTTGTCAATAGCCTGCCTCATTTTAGAATTTGTATGTAGAACATGCTCTTTTGAGTATCGATTCATCTAGGAGATTTAAATGCCATATGCAGGGGATAATGGTGTATATTGATACATATTTGTAAATAAGGATAGCTGATGGCAGAAAAGTTCAAGTCATCACGTTTTGATCATAAAGTTTAGTCGTTAGTTTGCCATCAGTGACTTTCTCTAATAAAATATTCAAATATGAAGCAGTTGTGTCATGTCTTGTTTCACATTCAATTTATAAGGAATGGTAATGAATATTGTCAATTGATAAAAGCGTCCTCGATATATATCTAATTGTCAAATTAAAGGCCACAGTAAAAGACTTGCTTCTTGTAGAACTTTCTGAATAAATTCCGCTTCATAAAAATTGAAAAACAAGTCTGCAAATAACGGGGCACAATAGGAAACAATGGTAATTCCAACAGATTGATCTCCAAAAACTACTGACATAGATATTGTCAGTGACAAACTCAGGCATCTTTATGATATCAACCTTGGACTACTTGTGTGTAGAAAAGGATCAATGTTTTTTTTAAACAAAATATGTTTGCAGGTGATCAATGACGAGGTATGCAAATTTACAAGTTCAAGAGTTTGATACAAAATAAATTCATAATTTATCTGTTTAAAGTAATGCTTCTGTATTTTGTTTATTCGATATGTAAAGTAATGCTTCTATATTTTGTTTATTTGATGTATGAAGAAATGCCTTCATTACTGCACCAGAACCCACAAAAATCGTATATATCCATTCATTAAAAAAAGAATCTGGTTCTAAGAAGGGGATACTCCTCCCAGAGTCAACAGTGTTGTTAAACAGTAAAACAATGGCATTCTAGCATCCAAACAGGCATCCTAGCACCCAAACATGCTTTATTAATAAATGAATAAAAATGAAAAAAGTGAAGTTATGTTTTCTCACTATATTTGATAGAAAAATCATGGAAATTCATTTAAATTAAAATCATAGTAAAAATTATGTATAAAAATATCATGATTTTATCGTGACATTTTTTGCAAAAAATCGTGATATTTCACGAAACAATATTTTTGGCGATACCCATCCCTATTATTTACCTTGTGACATCGACCTTGAAGTTTTGCCTACTTTCCTAAAAATGTTAACATTGGTGAAAACTTTTGAACGAGAGAAGATAGTGTGTTCATAAATGATATGTGCATGACCTGTGACAAGACCTCCCCTATGAACTATGATTTTTGACCCCTGACCTTGAAGTTTGACCTACTTTTCAAAACGTTTAACATTGGTAATAACTTTTGAATGCGAGAAGCAAGGGCATTCATATTTGACATACATGTACGCATTACCTGTGACAAGACGATGATTTTTTACCCTGTGGCCTTGACCTTGAAGGTTGACCTACCTTTCAATATTTTTAAAATTGGCGATAACTTTGAATGAGAGAAGAAAAGGACATTCATATTTGACGTGCGTTACATGTGACAAAACTTTTCCAAATGTACTATGTTTTTATACTTTGTGATCTTGAAGGTTGACCTACTTTTCAATATTTTTAATTTGGTGATGAAAACTTTTGAATGAGAGAAAGTAGGGCATTCATTTATGACAGGTGTATCATTAACCTTTCCAAATATATTATGGTTTTTGATCTGGTGACCATAATTTTAAAGTTTTACTTACAGTAGTTTTCAGAAAAGTAACATTGGTAATAACTTTTGAATGAGAGAAGATAGGTTTTCATATTTTACATGTACATTTCATGTAACAACACTTTTCAGTAGGAGTTATCATTATTGATTTCATGACCTTGAGCTAGAAGTTTGATTTAAGGAATGAAATTAATAGCTACCCAAGTGGGTTGGGGCAGTTTACGCTTTATAAACCGCGAAGCGGTTTATAAAAAAGCGTAAACTGTTCCAACCCACTTTATACCGTATAAATTGGGTAGCTATTAATTTCATTCCTTATAATTTAATTTTCATTCATTAAGTGTAAGAAAAAAAAATGATTGCCCTTAAAAAATTACTTCAAATCGTACAAAATTTAAATGTAACGTCAGGCGGATCGATACGTTTTTGACGCAAGTCATTGTGACGTATAGGCAACCCAATTTATACAATATAAAGTAAATTTTTTTATCCAATTAAATACCGCGTTATAACCAGAATTAAATTATTTACTTATATTAAAAAAAAACTTTGATCTTAATTTTGCATCAGATCTAAGAGACTAAACTTTTATTTTGCTTCACATATGTATTACCTGTGACAAGATCTTCCGAATTGTATTATGTATTTTATATGATGGACAGACAAGACAGAATACAGAGACAAGACAGTAACAATATACCATAAATAAAAACATCACAACCACTAAGGCACGTTAAGTGGGGGACCACAATTCTTTGAATTTGCTTGTTCTTAATTATTTTTATCCAGACGGTGTCTATATTATGTGTAAAGATGTAAAACAGTCCGTATATCAAACACGCATTAAACTGTAAGACATTGTAAGCTGTTAATACATTGTAAGCTGTAAATACTTATGTTCAAGAATCAAATGTCTTCATGTCTGATTAATAAGAAAGCATGTCTTATGCCACTGCTACAAGACCACACCCACTTTGGATTTTCTTTTTAATTTATCCTGAATTTTTCTCTCATAAAATTCTTTCTGTTCTTTCATTTTTTCCTCCATTTGTCTAATAATCTTCTGCTTTTTCTGAAGAAGAAAATCAAAATGAAGTTAATTTAGGTTCTTACATTTAGAGACAAAAAAGTAGGGTGGGATATTTTCAACTTTACCAGCATTAAATCCAGTCAATGCACTCACAAGAACTTGAAGTTTTCAGCATTTCTTTTATTCAATACCTCACACTTGTTACATGTATACTAATCTAGCTCCAATAGATGATTACATGTATCTAATACATTAGCTCCAATCTATTAATTAACTAACTCCAACCATACGTATATCTTTATGAAATCCTCATCAAACTATCATGACTCTTACTTCATCTGAACTCAATACAATTCTATCAGTTCTACAAAAATAGCTCCCAATGGCTCTATTTACTCTTACCACACGACAATGCTTTATTCTTAATTCTGGTCCAGGTACCCTAATTGTGTCTATAACTCTCTAAACTTCATTACTTTTTCACCTAAAAATACAGCTCATCATTCAAGTGCCTTTGTGAGCATTGTTACAACGCAAAATGTAATAACAATGCAAAATGTAATAAACTGGGATTATTATATTTTCTTCATTACATTTTGCGCAGAGTGTAACAACGCAAAATGTAATTACAGACCTTTTAGGTTTATTACATTTTTACAATTTGCGTCCAGATTAACGCAGAATGTACTGAATAATGTACTTTTTTATTATAACATTTTACGCTATTAAATTTTTGCGTTAAGACCAACGCAAAATGTTATAACACAAAATATAATAACACAACATAATTTTTT